TTCAATTTTTGATGAATTGGCAAAATTTCACTAAATTGATCTTAATAAATAACAGTAAAAAAAAGAACCTGGGACGGATCTAGTGTTTTCTTGGAGGGAAGAAAAGTGAAAAAAAAATTAAAATTTTCATTTTCTTGATCGAGCCAATCAATTAGCCAAGCTTACTAAAATTCAAAAAAGTTGAAAGGTACCGTGATTAGTCAAAAATTTTCAAGCTAATTTCATACAAAACATTAGTTTTGAATAATTTTTCTTTTTCCGAAACTGCTCCTCGCCCCCTAAAATTGAACTTGGTTTTTTTGGCGTTTGTAGATATTCTGGGGGATCTTTTGGGTGGGTCGCAGATCATTGAACTCTAGAGAAAATTTTCTTCTCCCTGAGTACAAAAAAAAACAGTACAAAAAAAATTTAATAATTTTCATTTTTTTATTAACGCACATAATGTGAGCCTTTCTTGAAGCCTAGAGCAGCTTGAGCCAGAAAGACAGCTGACATTAAGTATATGGTGGGCAGTTTGCAGTTAATGAAAAAAAATATCATACAATTCCATATGTAACCATACGCACAGAAACCTATAAGAAATCTATTATAAACAATTTTGCATTGATGAAAATTGTGTGACAATCGTTTTTCGGATTGAACAAAAATACTTTATACTCTGGAATACTCTTTATTTTGCTTGATAACTTTGTATTTTACTCGAAAAAAGAATCACCAATTTTTTTTTTCTGAAATGACCGACGTGCTGAGAATTTTTGCGATCTTTGTTGATTAATTACAATTCCCCTAAAAAAAACAAAAACCTTGAATTTTTGGTGTTTTGCTAGAAAGAAACAAAACAATTCAATGGCTGAAAACTTTTCTATTTGAACGTCTTATGAGTTTTTTCAGAGCCACATTTTTTAACTATAAAAATTGCGTAATTTCCCAAATGGCATAATTCCCAAATGGTATAATAATGAAACTAACTTTTTTGTTTTCGAAAAAGTTGTTCTCGATTTTTCCAATGCTACTGTTGTATTATATTTAAGTTTTTTGGGAAATTTTTCATTTTTATGCCATTTGAGAATTATGCCAATTGAGAAGTAATCTTCAAAACGTGTTTCCTTTTAGGTTGCCAAGGAAGTAGGGCAATCGGACCCTGGCTACGAAAATCTGATCTGCTATCAAAACTGCGGAAACGAGAAAGGGGCAGGAAACTGGATAAAATGTAGAGAAGACTGTGGCAGAGCAGGTCACGGAAAACCTGTTCAAGGTGGGAAAAAACCTGAAGATGGTAAAAAGAATGATGCAGATTCCCAAAAAGTTGGAGATGATGGCGCCGGAGATAATTACACTGGCAAAATTACACCCAAAGCATGGAGCTGGGTTTTAGTGGCTGCAATAACTTTCAAAATATTCGGAAAAGTGATAGAGCACTAATGTAGTTTACAAAACTCCGTGAGCGAGTTAAAATAGAATTCGAAAAGAATGAGCCTAATAACTTTGAAAACTTTCATTGCATTTCAAAAAAAAGCGTAAAATTATTACTCAACATACCGAGAAATCCTAATGAACTAAAGTTGATTTTTTGTCATTCTGTGAACGTTATTTATGGGGAGGCTGTCATATGTATAGTAATTCAGAGTATTGAAGGTAGTGAGAACTCTTTATAGGTGTTGATCAATTTTTAGGAGTAATGAACGTAATGAAGACTCTTTTATAGGACTTGCTGGTTTTTTAGGAGTAATGAACGTAGCGAAGACTCTTATATAGGTCTTGTTGATTTTTTTTTCAGGAAAAGTCCTCAAAATATCTAATAACTACAGAAATGCATTCATACATATTGATGTATTAATGGTATATGTGCAATTTTTTTGGTATGTATGGTATGGAAGAGTATGTTTTTGCTCTTTCACACCTGTTTTTTTCATGACAAGGCATGAATGAAAAATGAAATATTAGAACGCATGAATGAAAAAAGAAATCATTCGCATGCCGGGCGCTTTTTCCCTTGGTAATCTTTCAACTATGTTCTAACTACTACTAAGAACTTAGGTATGTATGCCCTTTTCCTGTTCAATTGAAATTCATCTGCTGAAAGGGACGTAAAAACCACTCTCCAAATACGAACGTGGAAAAGACGCAAAAAAACGTGAACAATTTCTAGTTTCGAAAGTGGAAATTAATTTCAAGATTTCCAGCGGAATAAAAATATTATCTATTGATCCAGTTTTCTCTAGTTGGGTTCATCTTATCACAAAAGCGCCCAATGTGAAATGTTCTAGAAATTCAAAAATCTTGCAGCTGTTTTTTTTTCAATTGGAAAGTTAAAACTTTTCCAAATAAATCAGCGTTTTTTTTCTGTCCATTCGTGTTCATTACTCTTTTTTCCAACTGTCAGTTGGTTATATTTATTTTTAGTTGGTAGTTTTTTCAGGGAGTTTTTGAGTTTTTGTCCTTTGGTTTGGCCTTCGATGTTTTTTATATTAATTGATTATTGTTTGATAGAAACTAACAGTTTGATAAGCAAAAACAAAATTAACTCAACTCCCAGTTACGAATGCGTATTTCAACTTTCAGAATTGACGACGGATGAAAAGTTTTACCTATTTATCCAGTTTTATCATTCTGGGTTTTTTATCCACAAGTCTTCAGCAAGTTTCTTCCTCGCAGTTCAAAAAGATAAAATTTCTCAAAAAACAAGCGTTCATTAACTCTTTACTAACCGTCTCTGGCATACGATTTTACATTTCAACTAAAAATAGATTTCATGCCTTTTATGATAGTTTTTGAGAATTCATTTTGATGATAACATATGCGTTAGTTTATACCAACAAAAGTAAAGTGCTGTTATAAATCAACCCAATTGATTGTTATCAAGATTGAAAAAATGTTTCGAAAGAGCTTCATCATCGAACTTTGTTCAAATATTTTTGCTACAAAGCTGTAGGCTCTCAAAAGAGCAATACGACGAGGTAGTCTTGCGGATACTTTGTTTATTATAATATCAATTACCTTAATCAAGGCAAATCAACGACTCTCTATATAGAAATTACCTTTTTTTCTTGCCAATTTATCTTGAAAATTTTATGCAGGCTTGTTTAAAAATTTCTCACTCCTTTGCCCTGGTACTTGACTTGTGTTTCGACATCTCAACTAGAAATGATTATGATGAATTTTTTTTATGTAATATCTTTTATCCATATTTGGAAAGTGTTTGAATAGCCTTCTTATGCCGAAACTTTTTTCTTTTCTTATTTATGATGAGACGCTGATTTAAATGCCACAACAAGAAAAAATTCTTTAACACATGTTGACACCGGTTTAGCATAAATCTATGAAGTTTGTATTTTTAGCGTTTTTTCATAAGCTCAGCTTAAGGAATTGTATGATTAGCGTTTTCGTTCTATGCAGGTCTACCTATGATGTCAAAAACTGCGTAACATTTTTCAATGCAATCCAAAATGTTGTCCCCTATGAGCTATTGGGTCTATTATGATAATTATTATCGTTCGAATAGTCAAACAAACGGGTATAAAGACAAATGAAGGCTGAGAATTATCATGAGCGGAAAAGCATAAAAAGTCTGAAAATTAAACATCAAAAAAAGAGCACAGGTTTAGCTTATAAAGCTTACTCATAAGCATTTTTGGTTTAACATTTTCAGCAGAAAAAAAACTATTACCTTAAATTTTCATTAAAGAATAAAGTTAAGATAATTAACTCTAATTCAAAATAATCAATTGAGAAATGACTGCCAGTAAACAAGCAATTGATAAGCGTTTGTATATATGTGTGTGTTTGTGTGTGTGCGTGTCTGTGTGTGTATTAAGTATTCGTGCGCTTTTTTCAAAAAACAAGACAGACAGATTTTTTTATTTCCTTACTTTTTTCAACTTTTATATGGTTGTTTTACATATGCGCTTCTGTCCATTTTTTAAATACCCTGTGTTTTTGCTTGCTCTCTTGTAAACTAAACTTGATTGATCACACGTCAACTAAATAAACTTCTTTTTTGATTTTAGAAAAATCCTCGTGTTGAATACTTTGTTTCGATATTGAGATGAACGCAAGAGGCTATCTTATAGAGTAGTTTGAGATAAAGTACAATAGCTGTTTGTCACGATATCTTCTGACTGTGCAAATTCTTACAACTCCTTAGTTTTCCAGTGATTCTGTCCTGCTCTCGTTTCTTTAGTCTCAAAGATCTAGATGGATACTGAAAAAAGCGAGGATATAAAGAGACCTGTTTTCCTTAATTTTCGAACTTGGTTCGACTAATAATTTAGAAAAGCTTTACAAAATCCTTTATAGGGATTTGTAATGTAATCAAATTGCTCTGTAAGAAAAGTCTTAATCTGTTTTTTAAGTTTAATAATGATACAAAGTGAGAAGTGATAATCGAAATGAAGTTTAGAACGGGTTGTGACATTGTAATTTTTTTGTGACATAGTATAAAGTATCACAGTGGGTATCAAAACCGGTGTTAGTTAAAGTGAGTAGAAAAGTAGAAAAAAAGTAGTAGGTCAACTTTCATATGTATAGGCACTTTTTTCATCCTTTTTCCAGGCGTTTTTATGAGGTATATTTTTGAAAGCTTTGACCTTTAGAAAACTTTTAGGATCCATCAGCCAAAAAAGGATATCTCAAAATAGTACAAAAAGGGACCCTTGGGGTCGGCAGGTGATCAAATTCTTGATGGCAGGAGGCGTCCGCCCCCGCACCGCCTCTCTCCCCTAAATCCACCCGTGATATTAAATATTTTTTTCGATATTCAGACAAAAGCAAGAGGCTTTATGTATAAAGCTTCTTGATTTTATCTGAATATCAAAAACAGTATTTAAAATACATGTGTAAAATGAACTGTGTGTTGAGGTCTGTTATCGAGATATGACAACGCTTGATATCGTGTGACATTGTGCAATACCCAATCAGGTTCTTAATTTGAACCAAAAAGTGGAAAGTGACTTATCTGAAGTGAGAAATCAAGGTCCTGAAGTTTAACAATAATTACTGACCCTCTCTTGTGGATGACTTTGAGTGCTTCCAGTTGACCTTTCTCTGCGGCTACCAATCCAGGAGTGCATCCGTTGCTGTCTTCTTTGCTAAGTTGCTGTCTAAAGCAATTTTAGTTCTTTTATTTTAATTAAATCAAGTTTTGGCTGGCTAATCAAACGTAATTTTTTTCATAACAAAAAGTGACTTAATGTCGCCGAGCAAAATTTTTTGAGCTCTCCCATGAAAACCATAACAAAATATAATTTTTAAAAATTGTTTTAATCAAAAACAACTTAAAATAAAAAAAAAACTAAAACTGCAGTTTTTTGGCAGTTGAGTTTTTGAACTGACCTTTTGTCGATTTTGGAATAAACATTACGGCAATTAAATTTCTGTTGTGTAAACTTTTCTAATATGGTAAAAATCTAACCTCGAGGCTTTATTGAGCACGGGTAGTGCACCTACTGCTGCTGCATCGTGCATTGCGGTGAACACTGATCCCACCTCGTGAACGGATGAGTGCGAGGCGGACAGACGCGAGGAGCGTGCACTCCAGTTGCGAAACATCACTATGAACTGATTAGAAGTGGTTAAGTGAATTGAATCAAGCTTCGGGTTAAAAAATCTTCAAACTGTTTCGATGAATTTTCTCCTACGTCCTGGTAATCAATGTTTTTGATCTGGTTTTGTTTGAATTATCCTTGACAAACCTTTATTCTTTGAAACTGTTAAAAAATATCAGTTTTCCAAATATTGACAATGAAAATTACGAGTTTGCTTATTTAAATACACGAAAAAGAAAAGATGTGAAAAAAAAACTATTTTACCAAGTAGAGTCTTGTTTTTTAATGGACAAAATCAATAATCTCAGATGCCGATGACAGTAAGTGCCACGTCTTACTTGAAATTTTTTATGAAGGTCCGTCCGACTAGTTCCGCTTTCTGAAAGATTTATCTTCTCAGACGTTCAAGATAGCAAAAATCAGAAGAGGTTTCGATAAATTTCAAATAAAATTAATAAGTAATAAAAAGTTTTATCAACACACAGTTTTCTGTTCGCAAACCATTGTTTTTCTATTTTATATCCTAAATTTTCCAGTTTTGTATCAAAGATTTAAGATGTCTATAACGGATTGATAAATAGCATTTAGAGTACCTATAACAGCATTATTTATGCAAAGAAAACCAAAATTTGTTCTAACAAAATCACGCGAATACTTTTCACGCTTCGAGAATTTCAAAAACACCTGCAAAAACAGACACAACTCAAACAGCACATCGTTTTTAGTTCAATGCTGAAACAAAAACAAGTATAACCAGCTGCAGTTTAGGCATTTTAGCAAAAAAAAAGCAAAAATATTAAAGTGATGATTTTCTTCGGATTCTCCCCCTCACCAACCAAAGGTTCCCCCTTTGGTATTAATTTTGACATCCATTTTTGACGACCAAGCCTAAAAAGTTTCTAACGACTCCCTTCAGCGCCAAACTATACTGATTTTGACGGGAAACGCGCACCTAAAAGACGCAACTTTTTGGTCAAAAAATTCGGCTTTTTGAATTGTTCTTTCACAGTTTGTCTGTGTTGCGAACATTTATGTCAAAGCAGGACCTTTATAGTATTCTGGGATTGCTGGGAAGTTCAATTTGGTCGACCTAGAAAAAGGTCAACAAAATATTCAAAATTTTCAAAATTTTCAAAAGGTCAACAAAGTTTTCAATTCATCTCGAGAAAATCCTAGATCCACCTATGCAGCGCTAATAAAAGAAACATGAAAATCATTAACTTTTTTTGATCATTTCTTTTAGTTCTTCATTATTCAAAAATCAATGAGTTAAAAAATCAGAGTGATCAGTAGAGCTAAGTCGGATCTACCTAAGGCATTGAAGGGTGCATTTAGTGCAAATTAGATAGAAAAACGGACAAAGTCAGACCACCATTTTAGCCTGTTCTTTTTTGGATTTGGAGAGCTCAGAAAATCAATTTATTGACTAAAAAATGTCGACAAATTTTCTGAATTTATTTTGGAAATCCGCCCCCCTCCCCTTGACAAAACTATAGATCCGTCCTTGTGGAATACACATCTTTGGTACTTTTTAAAAAGTCCATTTTTTGGCCAACAGACCCTAACATTTTTCTAAAGGCGACTTTGGCGCCAATATATACTAACTTTGTAGGGGAGCAGGCGCCAAAAAAACGCGAGTTTTTGTCAAAGTTTTCCAAAAAGTGCCCAAAAACGGCTTTTTGACCTGTTTTTTCAAAAGTTTGCCTGCGGCACAGAAAATTTGGCCAAAACAGCGTCTATTTTAGTGCTTTAGGTGAGCTCGAATAATCAATTTGGTCGACCTGGAAAAAAAAAGTCGGAATTTTTGATAAAACTTTTGAAAATCCATCCCCCCCTTGAGAAAATTCTAGACCCACCCCTGATGGCAACACACAAGGTGATACTTGAGCAAACATTAATACGATGTCTAGAAAAACACATTGGACCAAAAACGGCTCAGTTTTCAGCTTTGTCATCCGGAATTCTTTTTTATTAAAAAAAATCAATACTTTTGTTTCCAATCAGATGTTATTGGAACCTGATCTAAACTACATTTTATGATTGGATAAATTAAATGTTTTACCAATGTAAAGTATTTAATATTAACCAATCATGATCCATCTAACTAACAACCCACTTATTTGTAAGTGCTGAAGTTACTTGTAATTTCAGCACCAGAGAGATTTGAATTTAACTTAGAAATTAGTTGGACTCTCCCGAGCACTTCAGCAGCCGCAATAAACCAGTATACCCTAGATCTATTGAGCCTAGCAGAGACTAGTTAAACAACCTGAGACTAGATAGTATAAGAGTAAGATTAGGATCGGTATTAGACTAAGAAGTTGCACGAATCTATCCGGCCGAAAATAAGATAGCGTGACGAGCAGACGGTGTACCCTATCCGAAATTACTCTATGAGTTACACTTCGGTCCTAACTCATCTGGTGCGACCATAAGTCTCGAACAAGACCTTAATAGATTAGAATTAACCAAAATAGATTAGAAATTAGACAAAAACATTTACAAAAATGTTATACGACAATAATTTAATCGAAATGTCTCTACGACTCAATAGATCAGAGCCAATATTCCGAACCATAACAGAACTACCCGGAATTGGAAGAAGACCTCGAACCAAAGACGACATACGACAAAGTAGAAACTTGCCGTATAGTTATATGATAGTTCGGCAAAAGCCAGAACAAACTTTTATATTTCGAATACTACTTGCAATGAATTTAGATTTTCATTTGCAAACATAAACCTTGAAGTTACTCTTCAAAATCATTTCAGGCGCTAAACAAATTTATTAATATACAATAACGATTGATAAAAAGATCTAAGATCGTTTTCCTAAAACTCTGCAGTATTATACAAAAAATGTTTGAAAAATATTTATTGAAAAATAAAAATAAAAATTAGTAGCATGACAATAAATGGTTAGTAATCATAAATCATCCTGTTGTTCCAGCTTCATCATCTAAAACATAACAGCAATCATAAACCCACTAATATCATCAAAACACTAAATCTTTCCTTTACACACATTTAAAATTTTATTAAAACTTAAATTCACTTAATTTTAAAACCAGATCATCAAGGCTTATCCTTGGATCTTAAATCATTTTCTACTTAATTAAATTTCAAATTTGATCATCAAGGCTTATCCTTGGATCAAACAGAACAACTTTGTTCTCCCCCACCCACTTAATTAGTGTCTAACGACCTCAAACGTCGATTCACTACCCAACCCTTTCTAAAGACCTAAGACTAATAGAAATTTTTAAACAAAACTAATCATTCAAATTAGGATAAACAGTGAAGAACTTCGGTTATTCATCCTTCACTTGACCCCCCCTCTTACCAGACCCAGGATAAATCTTAGACTTAGTAAGTTTAAAATAGTATCTAACGAACTACTCGCGTTCTAATTATACCTGAACCTTGTGGATCGATTTACTATTCTCCAACCCTTGAACACAATCACTACCCCTAAGTAAGATTAAGTAAGTTAACACCTTAACTTATACTAGCCACGAGAAAGTAAAAAATCATTCTTCGGAATCGATATACTTTTCTCTCCAACCCTGAACAAACAGACCCAGGTTAAGCTAACCAAAAAATCGTAAGAACTAACAGTTTAGGAAAATAGAAATCATTTAACAACCTTTTGCATCCGTCATCCTAAACCTTATGTCATTTAAAAACCTAGGAAATAAACAAACAATCGTTTTACACAATTGTGAAATAGATAACAAAAAATACGACCTTGTAATCACACCTCATACACAAACAGTTGGATACATTCGAACAAAACGACAAACACTAAAAAGAAAAATAATAACGAAACAAAGACAAATAACACGAAAAAGATTTTCAAAAAATCGAAACGCATTTTCAGAATCAGAAACCAACAGTTTAGACGAACTTTACAAACTAAAAGAATCAATAGATAAAAATTGCCCAATTCACGATCAATTATATTTCTCTGACTCAGAAACAACTTCAAATTCATCACAAAGAGGAAAAAGAAGAATAAAAAAGCAGTACAAACACAAACCAGTACATTTATACAATTGGAATCAACCAATTCGACACATTAATAATTACATATTAACAGTAATCGAACGAAAAAATGAGTTCAACGCACACCCCAGGTGAAGAAACTCCAGATGATGATGAAATCTTTCCTTTTATAGTAGACGCAGATACTGATAGAGGACAACACATATTTTGTCAAAATTTACTCGTAAATTTATTTGAACCCGGAATCAGTCCATGTAAAACAGAGTTCCCCGATGTAAAAATCAAAAGACAAATCATAGATCACTATCTAAAAGATATATGCAACATAACACAACAGTATGGAATCTACTCCATAGAATTCACCTCACCAAACCATAATAATAGAAAATATACAATTCAAACAGACGATCTTGATTTAGAATTTTCAAAAGTTTTTTCAGAATATATAAAAAGCATCCAATACCATAACTCACAAAGAGCAAACTCCATATTCACCAATGAAGTTTTCGCAATAATATATAGTTATATTTCGATATTAGAAAACGAAATCCCAATAACAAATGTCTCACCGACAGAAACATCTAAACATTTAAGAGTACGACATGAAATCACACTACTCTCTAGTTATTTAAACATCATTAAAGAAAATTTCACGAAAGACGACGTTTCACAACATACAAAACACGATCTACAAAAAATTTTGGCATGGTTCATAATAGATTATTTCACACACAATATTGATTTAATTGCACAAGCAAGAAAAAATTTTAGACCCCAAAATTCGAACGATGATACCGCTATCACAGAACAATCAGATTATGTTTGGGACCCCGAATGGTCTCATCCCGCATTTATAAGCTTTCCACAATCAATCTCAAGTCAAGCAATAGGTACAATATCTTACATAAGAGATTATGTAAGAGTAATACCATTAACAATTGATGCAACACCATTAAACTATAATACATTTTTACCCGATACACAAAATAATAGTTTAAACTCTACAGTTATACACAATGAAAACCTCAATGGAACTAGGAATCTTACTCAACAAGATATCCAGACACCATCACACTTCATAAATGAAGAAATTGTACACACAACAACTACACAACAAAGTATTTCACCAATACGCCCAAATTTAACAACACCAAGAAATACAAATCCTTCACAAACACAGGTAACCTTACAATCAACCGTTAAACCTTCGGTTGCCCCTAAATATTCACATATGGATTACCAAACATACAGACCCATGACAATACCACCAAAAACACGCAAAACATTCACTAGAAACAACTTTGCAGACCATAATTATAATTATACACATCCATCAAAAACATATAATCAACCACAAAGAAATTTTAACCAATATACAAGATCTCGAAATTGGGATAACCCAATGACCCAACCTAATTCAATAAATTTCCAAACAAATCCTCCACAGGATCACAGTGAAAATTACCCATTTTTTCAACAAAATAGAAATAAAAAACAGACATCTTATCAAATGGATTATTTATCCTCAGATGATGATTTCTTACAACCAGATATATTTGCACCAAATACTCAAGAATATCGTAGACAAGGAATACAGAG